GGCATATAAGATACATCTTTGCTCCTTTAGTAGGTATAGTTTACATTAACTATTTTATTATATATCTAAAAAAGAGAAGCAATGCCCAGAACCACATATTCCAAGTCCTACAATCATAAAGGTAATAATAGTAATGAGTGTTTCATGTTTACTTTTTAAAAAATAAGTTTTGAATTATGAGCTGTCCTGAGCAATAGCACAGGTGGACAGAATAGCATCACAAATAGTCTTGAGCTCAGCACTCTGCTTGACTGGTTTTAAGCTCTCCTGTTTCAGGTCTTTTCAGCTCCTGGCCAGGAACCGTTTTTCCTTTGCAGGGCTCACACCTTCCTTCCTTCCTTCATGCAAGCCTCTACTGAGATGGTATCTCTTCAGACGGGTCTCCTGACCGTTCTATTTGTAGTGAATGCAACTCCAAAATGTATTCTATTTAATAAACAAAAAGCACCCTCCATCTCCCCTGGTTACTCTTCACAGCAATTATTATCTATTTGTTTGACTTCTTGTCTAGCTTATCCAACTAGAATCCAGGCTGTGACTCACTGAGGGCTTTGTTTTATCAACCAATACCCAGAAGGATGCCTGTTATACTGTAGGCATTGAGTAGATATCTATTGAATAGAGAAGTATTATTGCCTGGGCAAACTTTGTAGGCAAGAGCAGGCTAGAAACAGTTTGGTGTAGGTTGATGAATTCTTACACTCTGGCAAATGACCTTTGTCTTTTTAAGCATAATAATATTATGTTTAATGTTTAAATGGCTTAACACGACAATTTATATTTCCAAGAGTTAATCATTTATCCATCTTAAATAACAGGTCTTGTTTTCAGTAGAGAAAAGTTTAAGAAAAATAAAAAATGGCCTTTCAGCCTACTGATCAGAGAAGCCCTAGCGACACTTAAACAAACAAACAAATAATAAAAACACGAGTTGAGGCTGTGGCTGCTCATGCCTGTAATCCCGCACTTTGGGAGGCTGAGGCAGGCAGATCACCAGCCTGGCCAACCATAGTGAAACCCCATCTTTACTAAAAATACAAAAATTTGCCAGACGTGGTGGCACATGCCTGTAATCCCAGCTACTTGGGAGGCTGAGGCAGGAGAATTGATTGAACCTGGGAGGCGGAGGTTGCAGTGAGCCACGATTGAATCACTGCACTCCAGCCCGGGTGATAAAGTGAGTGAGACCCTGTCTCAAAAAAAAAAAAAAAAAATAGTTTAGAGTTAGAAACTTAAAATTTTATAGAAAGGTACAGAATAAAAAGTGGAAGATGTTCCCCTATGTACTTTTCTAGTTCCTTTCATAAAATTAAAACCCCTGTAACTAATTTCTCATGGGTTGTTCTAGAAAAATTTTTGTATGCCTACAGGCATACATTTATCAACAAAATACACATTGTCTTAAATTGCTTTAAAGATACATACACATGCACATCCTAGAAGTTTCTGTAAAAACCCTTGCACAATTTATCCTTACATATTTATTTGCACAACCATACTGTGAACATCGCCTCCACCTGTCTGCCTGCCTGTCCCCTATTCCCTCCCTAGTGCCTGGCGCACAGCAAGTAATGACCTATTCATTGAGTGAATAACTAAACTAGTACATCCTCATTTAACAGAAGGCACTGTGCTTTTATTAATGCACCCTGACAAACAGAATTCTTATACCACTAGTTAAGTTCTTTGAGATTCATATTCAATGAATATTGATAGTTTTTTTGTTTAAATTGATTTTGTTCTAGGTGCTTTCACATGAATGGGATCCTCAGGCTAATCTCCTGAAGTGGTTATTTTAATTCCTGTTCTTCAGATGAGAAAATGAGACTCACAGAGTTAAAGCCAAATTATATAATAAGAGTTTAATATTAGCGAAAGGGTCTAGGCCTCTGTGCCCTACTTATATTTCTAAGTCTCTTCTTTTCCACTAGTTTCAAAAGTAAGAATGCTATCAATGTTTAAGCTTGGCTCTGAATACCAAATATTCCTGTACAGTCTGTCATGCCACAAAGGTTCATTTCAAATCTCTCTAATTAGCCCAGCAGATAAAGCAGGAGCTGAAGACTCCAAATAAACCACTAACAAACAAAAAACACCTCTCACACAAAAGAAATCTCTTGATGGTGTTAAAAACTAAGCAATGTGGCTTCTTAGAACGTGGCTTCTGAACAGCTCAGAATCAAAACACAGGAAGTAAGCTGTTAATGGCACAATGAAATGAATAAAAACTATTTTGGGGGTGAACCAGAATTTGCTCTCTGCTATTTACTGGTCCGTGTTCAAAGTGGGGAGATGGGCCTTGGGGTCAAGAGCTTCCCCAGTGGCCCAATTTCCAAGAAGAAATAGCCAATACACAACTCTGTAAAAAAATTTAAAAACATACGGAATTGCACACTTGAAATGGATGAATATTATGATAAGTAAATCATGTCTCAATCAAGCTGTTAAAAAGAAAGAAAGAAAGAAGAAAGAAAAAGCAAGCAAGCAAGTAAGCGAGCCAAATTTAATGCGGTTTTACTTTGCCAGCAGTCAGCCGGTACAGATTTCGGTCGTGGGGTGTGTGTGTGTGTGTGTGTGTGTGTTTTAAAAGTGTGGTCTGTGATCCAGAGCATACTAGGATGTGGGAGACTCACAGGTTACTGTTTAATATTATATAGAAAACATGTGTGCAGAGTCAAGGAGGGGGAAAACAGTTCTCCAATTAAAAGACTGTAGCACTAAGGCCTCCTGAGAAGTAAAAATCCATGAGAAAGGTGAAACTTTTGTTCTGTGAGTGTTGCCACAACATCACCTACTCGGGTGAAACTGCAGTGCGTACCACTCGCCTCCCAGTTGTAGCTGGCCCGTTGATTCCGTTGACTCGGAATAGCAGCCTTGTTCCATCTGCTGGAGTCAGAGGTTTATGGAGGCAGAAAGTGAGTGGAATTATTTCCAAAAAAAATAATCACAGGAGCAGGGAGAGGGAGGGAGGAAGAGAGAGAGAGAAAGAGAGAGAGAGAGAGAGAGAGAGACACTGAGAGAGACAGAGAGAAAGGAGAAATGAATTTTTGGAATAGAATGAAGTTGGCTGTATATGCATTAAAACATTTAAATGAACACTGCAAAAGCTATAAACTGATGATTCCTTAAGAAGAGCTGTCTGTTGGGATGGGACCAGAAAAAAAACCTCAAAAGGGAAGGGATGGGCAGGAGGGAACTTGCTACTGAAAGGAGTAGGGTTTGCAGGTTTGCAGTTATACCTGTCTGTCCGCCAAGGGGCTAGGGGAGACCCCACACACACTCTGCATCAGTGCCTCACCATGGGAAGGAGGACAAGGACAAACAAGCACCCCCTCCATGCCAAACAACGAAACAAAACCTTCTTACTCAATCTAAAAGGAAAACAAAAACAAAAACAAAAAAACAGGTTTATTTCACACCCTCCCCCCACTTCTCTTTTTTTGTGGTAAGAGACAGGGTTTCATTCTTGCCCAGGTTAGAGTGCAGGGGTGCAATCCTAGCTCACTGCAGCCTCAACTTCCTGTGCTCAACCAATTTTCCCACTTCAGTCTCCCAAATAACTGGAATTATAGGCATGGACCAGCATGGCTAGCTAATTTTTTAAATGTTTTGTAGAGACAGAGTTTCACTAAGTTGCCCAGGCTGGTCTCAAACTCCTGGCCTCAAAGACTCCTCCCACAGCGATGGGATTACTGGCGTGAGCCACAGCGCCCAGCCAACTGAGGCAATTTTTTTTTTTTGAGACCGGATCTTGCTCTGTCACCCAGGCAGGAGTGCAGTGGTGCCATCTCAGTTCACTGCAACCTCTGCCTCCTCGGTTCAAGCGATTCTCCTGTCGCAGCCTCCCAAGTACTGGGATTACAGGCACACACCACCATGCACGGCTAATTTTTGTATTTTTAGTAGAGATGGGGTTTCACCATGTTAGCCAGGATGGTCTCCATCTCCTGACCTCGTGATCCGCCCACCTCGGCCTCCCAAAGTGCTGGGATCACAGGGTGAACCACTGCATCTGGTCTTAACTGAGGTAATTTTTTGAGAAATTCTGGGCAAATGCCCTCACTTACCTCTGATCATAGGTTTAAAAACGCCAATAAAACTTGTTTATTGCTTAAGACTAGGGCAGTAGTTACCCTTAACTACTGTGGTGGGGAAGTGATAGAAGGGGGTGCAGAGGAACTTTCGATGGGTGTCCCTTTGGGAAAACCCATCAAGCTGGATACTCCTGATTTTTCCACTACTCTGTATCTAGATTATACTTTTTTCTTTTACGATTTTTACAATATTGTTTATTTTAATGAAGCTGATGTAGTCAATGTCCATTTAAAACCCCGTATCTCGGCCGGGCGCGGTGGCTCAAGCCTGTAATCCCAGCACTTTGGGAGGCCGAGACGGGCGGATCACGAGGTCAGGAGATCGAGACCATCCTGGCTAACACGGTGAAACCCCGTCTCTACTAAAAAATACAAAAAACTAGCCGGGCGTGGTGGCGGCGCCTGTAGTCCCAGCTACTCGGGAGGCTGAGGCAGGAGAATGGCGTAAACCCGGGAGGCGGAGCTTGCAGTGAGCTGAGATCCGGCCACTGCACTCCAGCCTGGGCGACAGAGCCAGACTCCGTCTCAAAAAAAAAAAAAAAAAAAAAAAAAACCCGGTATCTCAGGCCAAAAAGTACGAATAAAAAAGAGCAGCATTCTGTTGTATTCATTTCTGCATGTATACCTTTATTGCTAATGAAAATTAGAACTTTTCTGGGATCTTCTGACAAGATTAAGAAAAAAAAAATCTTCAAATGCCTTTTCTTCAGGGAAGTCATCTTTGGAGTTAGTCGTTAAGCTCAACCTTATCTGTCATCTTGACTTAACCTGATGCTCCTTTTTTTTTGGTCCAGACCTTCAAATTTTAAAAATAGCTTCAAGTTGTTAAGGAGAAGTCATTTTTCCACAGTTCAGTTCTCTAAAAAACTTCCATCTCCCACCAAAAGTCATAGTCCAGGAGTGAAACAATCACATGGTTGAACATCAGGGCCAATTGGAAAGTCATTATGAACACTTGCATTGGTCGATCTTGTCATCTGAAAATGTACAGTCCTGAAAAAGGTGGCCTCTCTGTGCACACGTAATTTTTATAAAAGGAGAGGGCAATATGAAGAGGACTGAGCCTTGATCACCAGAAATCAGCATAATGAAAACAAACAATAATGAATAATGAGAACTAGAATTCAAATTACCAGCTGTTTTAAAGAGATAGAGTGCCTGTTTTCAATTCCGTTTTAAATACCACGTTACAAACGAACTATTTTAAAAATAAAAAAGGACTGAGGGAAAAGGAAAAAAAAAAAAAAAAGAATGTCTAAACTGTTGAATGACCCCCGATTTGTTCCTGATAAACTTCAATCACATCTTCTTCTTCCATTCCCAGTTCTTCTGGAGTATGATTATCAGCAATTCTCTGACCTTCAAAGAGAAACCTGAGGGAATTCACTGGAACGCCCTGTCTCTGACAGTACGATTCCTTAAGTTTTTTGAGAGGTGTTGTCATTTTCACTTTGAAGTGAATCTCACTGCTATCCTGTCCAATAACCCTGAGTTTAATATCTTCATCCTTTATCTTATCCCCCAAATCCTCAGTTGAAGGTTTTGCCTCCTGGTCAGACATGGTGATGGGGCATTCACCTGCAGGTCTCCGAACAGCAGCGGTCTCGAGGTAGGCAGAACCCCGTTCTAGCGTTTACAATGCCATCTCCCTTCGTCACAGCACGACACCGCAGCCGCAGTCACTTCCGCTACGCTTCACGTCACTACTGTTACGCCTCGCATCACTTCCGGTGCAGCTTGCGTCACTTCCGGTAGGCATAGCGAGGAGGCCCGGAAAAGAGGTAACTTTTTTATTTAAAGTACCGGTATGTATTCCCTGTTCCTGCTTCCTCATCAATTTCAAACTTAACAGGACCCAAAGAGAACTTGGGTTCTCTGTTCTCAGGGGCCGCCAGCTATCTTTTCCCAGCCTAACTCCAACAACTTCAGCATGTCCCTGTTTCTTCTTTCTCTAATCTCCTCACCCAGTCTGGATAGCCTGTTGTCTCTCCCTCTAGAGCAGGTCTGAAATCAACCGGCTTTACCCCATCTTCATTGAGGTGGCCAAGTCCATGTGGTATTTTGGCTGGACAACTGTTGGGGGCTCCCAGTTGGTTTACCCACTGCTTCAGTTGTCTCCCTCTCCAGCGAATCCATTCTCCATTTCCATTTTATTTTATTATTTTATTTTATTCTATTTCATTCATATTTTTTGAGACAGAGTCTCGCTCTGTCACCCAGGCTGGAGTGCAGTGGCACGATCTCCATTCTCCACAAGCTCCACCTCCTGGGTTCAAGCAATTCTCTTGCCTCAGCCTCCCGAGTAGCTGGGATTACAGGCATGTGCCATGATGCCCGGCTTTTTGTATTTTTTTAGTAGAGACGGAGTTTCACCGTGTTGGCCAGGCTGGTCTCAAACTCCTGACCTCAAGTGATCTACCCGCCTCAGCCTCCCAAAGTGCTGGGATTACAGGCATGAGCCACCGCGCCTGGCCCCCATTTCCCTTTTATAAGAATGGAAATCAGATGACGACATTCTCCTTCTGTAAAGCCTCCTCATGGCTTCCCTTCACATTGAAAGAACCACCCAGGATGGGGAGAAGCCTTCTGGTGTCACACAAGAAAAGCCATGGCCACCTCCCCTCATCCCTTCCCTCCTCCCTCTTGGTCATTCTGTTCTGATCTCCTTCTGTCCCTCCAACATGCGTAGCTCATTCCTTCCTCGGCGACTTTGCCTTGCTGTCCTCTGTCCTGGGTCTTGGCCCTAATGTCTCCTCGCCACAAAGGCTGCCCCTGGTCACCTGTGTGGTTGCCATTTACTGTCACATCACCTTCAGAACCCCTGTCACTGCTGGACATGTGATCTTACCTCTTTGTTTTGTTGTTTATTGGATGTTTCCCTCATTAGGATATAAGTGCCCAGAGGGGCAAGAACTGTGTCTACCTTACACTACCCTACACTACTTTGGATGTATAAAAACAATTTGAAATGTCGCATGCCTAAAACCCGATTCCTGAACTTCCCATTCCCACCATCACCGCCTTCCTCTTGTCCTGATCTCTCCTGGTCTTCCCCTCTCAGCGCGCTGCCACTCTATTCCTTCAGTGGCTCAGACCCCAGATATTGGAGGCGTCCGGGACGCCCCTTTCCCCCTCACATTCCACACTCACCCTGTTCGCACCTTCAGTTGCCTTTACCTTCGGAGAGCCGGAGACCACCACTGTGTCCTGCTTCCGCCCTGGTCTGGGCAGCCACAGGGGTCCCTGGAGCTTCCTGCAGTCACTGCACTTACTGTCTCTACATGCCCCTGTGCCCTCCTTCCATCTAGTCTCCGGAGTGAGGTTATTTGAAAATCATTTCCAATGTCACATCTGTTTCCAGAGCTATCCGTAGACGGCTAGCTCGGAGTGAAATCTAAAGCCGTTTAGTCACGTCGGCCCAAATGCCCCTCTCTGACCAGCTCACCCACCCACCATTCTTTTCCTTGCTTACTCCACTCTAGGCACACTATCTAAGGGCACGCCCCTGAGGCCCTGTGAGTGTGCTGCTCTCTTTCTGGAAGGACTTTCCCCATATGCTACATTGAGTGCTCCCTTCCTTGTGGAGGTCTCTGCTCAGTGAGGTCCTCTCCAGCGTCTCCCTTTAAAATTGCCCCAGTGGGGCAGGAGCTGTGGCTCCTGCCTGCAATCCCAGGGCTTTACGCGGCTGAGGTGGAAGGATCACTTGAGCCCAGGAGTTCAAGACCAGCCTAGACAACATGGTGAAACCCTGTCTCCACAAAAAAAAACACAACACTTAGCCAGGCATGGTGATGCGGACCTGTGGTCCCAGCTACTCTGGTGGCCGAGGTGGGAGGATTGCTTGAACCCAGGAGTTGGAGGCTACAGTGAATTGTAGTGTCACTGCATTCCAGCCTAGGTGACAGAGTAAGACTCTGTTTTTTTGTTTTGTTTTTAAATGCCCCCTTATACACGTGTTCCTCCCTGTCTCCGTATTTTTTCTCCAGAGCACTTCTGACTCTTCAGACGTGTGTCGTTTTTGTTTGTTGATGCTCTTCTCCCACTACAATGTAAGTTCCATGTGGGTGTGGATTTCTGTCTCTGTCACTGTGATATCCTCATTGTTCAAATCGGTGCCCAGCAGGTATTAAACACTCATAGATATTTGCTAATTGAATGAACTAATGATGATGTTCACCGTTGAACAGCATACTGTACAAATCTAAGGCCTCATCCAGTGAGTGAATTAATGATAACTAAGAGAAATTTACCAAACTTCAAACTCACTCAATCAACAAAGATATATAGAGTTTCTGTTGTAAGTCTGGAACTGATCTACCCTGATCTACAGTGTTGAATGAAATAGACGAGATCTCTGACCACCTGAAACGAGCAGTCTACTTGGGGAAAATCCACTGATCAAATAATCATAGAAATGTTTCATCACAAACTTGGTGCTGCTGGCAAGGAAAAGTCAATAACTCTCGGAGTGTAGTTCCATTTGAGAATTAGGAGGGCTTCTCTGAGGAGGTGACATCTGAGCTGAGATGAGAAGGTTGAGATGGTGCAGGGAAGAGGTACAGGGGTGGAGACTGGGGAGAAAATTTCAGGCAGAAGAAACTTCAGAGGCAAAGTCCCCAGTCCTTGGGTTTGGGTTAATCATTTACATCTTACTGCTTCCAGTATTCTAGTTTCTGATGATTACTATGATTTAGCTTCATTTTTTAGCTACCAGTAGAATATTGGTGATGGTTTTCATTTGGAGGGATGGGAAATGCCTCCAAACTCAGGATTCTAATTAAATTTTGGAGACCACAGAGTTTATGCAGCGTGTGGTTGGATTTTTACATCATCCTTGTTTGTTTTCTTCTCTTTCCAGTCCTTCGACACTGGCTAGTCATTAAAATTTAGAGCTCACCCTGGGTTAAGTGGACGATTTCCTGGAAAACAGCTGGTTGAGCTCCCCCCCCGCCCCTCCCCCAGTGCCTCGCTGAAATAAACATCCCTTTTGGAGAAAGGCTTCCTTTAGTGCCTTCCTGCTTAGCATCTTTTTGCAATCTATATTCCTGTTTTGCATGACTTCTCAGAACAAATCTAGAATGATAAGTAAAATAACAGCCAAGGTTTATTAAGCATGTGATTGCTTCACACAACCTTCCTTGGAGCTAGGCACTATTATCCTGTATTCAAAGATGAGGACCTGAGGCTTGGGAAGCTAGTGTGTTTCAGACCAATCAATAATGAGCAGAAGCAGGTTTAACACCCAGGACCATGTGACTCAAGAACTTGTGCTTTTTTTTTTTTTTTTTTTTTGAGACGGAGTCTCACTTTGTTGCCCAGGCTGGGGTGCAGTGGCTGGATCTCAGCTCACTGCAAGCCCCGTCTCCCGGGTTTACACCATTCTCCTGCCTCAGCCTCCCGAGTAGCTGGGACTACAGGCGCCCGCCACCTCGCCCAGCTATTTTTTTGTATTTTTTATTAGAGACAGGGTTTCACCGTGTTAGCCAGGATGGTCTCCATCTCCTGACCTCGTGATCCACCCATCTTGGCCTCCCAAAATGCTGGGATTACAGACTTGAGCCACCGTGCCTGGCCAGAACTTGTGCTCTTAACCATTGAGCCACAAGGCCTCCCTAGGGTGGGATTAGTGTGGTCTCTTGTAGAGGGGACCAACTGTATCTTGTGCTGAAACCTGGCTGGGCACAGTGACTTGCGCCTGTAATCCCAGCACTTTAGGAGGCCGAGGGGGGGTGGATCACCTGAGGTCAGGAGTTCGAGACCAGCCTGGCCAACATGGGGAAACCCCATCTCTACTGAAAATACAAAAATTAGCTGGGTGTGGTGGTGCACACCTCTAGTCCCAGTTACTCGGGAGGCTGAGGCATGAGAATCACTTGATCCCAGGAGGTGGAGGTTGCAGTGAGCTGAGAGTGCGCCACTGCACTCCAGCCTGGGCGACAGGGAGAGACTCGGTCTCAAACAAAACAAAACAAAACAAAACTATCTTGTGCTAAAAAGGGTTTAATACATGGATATTGAGTAACTCACAGGTGGAGAAAGGAGTCCTAAGAAACAAAGAAATACAGAGGCAGAGAGGAAGAAGAGAGGAGGAGTGGGGTGGGGGGAGAGAGAGACAGAGACAGACAGACAGACAGACATGAGCTAATGCCTAGCTCCCAGAATGGTTGTGAGAAGCAACAACAAGCTTAATAAACCTTGGCTGTTATTTTATTATTCTTTTAGATGTTTTTCTCAAAACTCCCACATTTCTAGGGAGCAGAAATGCTTCTTGAGAGCTTCTGCTGGAAAGGGTGAGCTGCAATTCTGTTTTCTACTCCATGTCACTCTAGTAAAGACTCTCCATCCCTGCACTTAGAGTTTGATGATTTGCCTTGGCCATGGACTCATTCCTTGGCTAACAGAGAACAAAGTGTCTTAATTAACACTCTGCTGAGATGACTCACAATGGTTTGTGAGGGTACATAATCCCCTAAAGTTGCTGTGTAACCCAAAGAACCCGAAATGAATGCTGGGCTTTTCAAACCCAACCATTATTCTTCCTTCCTCGTGGTCACCTCCTGTAGAAAGGCTGGAAGTGAAACTTAATTCAGTCTCGATTCTGTCTTTGCTCCCACTTTTGAGAGCTCATCTTTATTCAGAGGGTGCCTAGTGCAGTACCAGGCACATAGTAGGTGCTTAGCCAGTCAATGGTGGGGCAAATAAGTGAGTAGAAAAGAAAAACACATCCTCACTGTTTAACAATTGCTCCCTTCACCAAAGCTCCCTAAAAGAAGCCTTCTTTCTGCTGGGCTTTTTGAGGAGGTCCAACAAATAGCCCTTTCTTCGCTGCCTGGGTTCTTAAATGGCTGAGCCACAAAACAGAAGAACAAGCCAAAATGTGGACCGGGCGCGGTGGTTCATGCTGGTAATCCCAGCACTTTGGGAGGCCGAGGCAAGCGGATCACCTGAGGTCAGGAGTTGGAGACCAGCCTGACCAATATGGTGAAACCCGGTTTCTACTAAAAATACAAAAATTAGCTGAGGCATGGTGGCATGTGCCTGTAATCCCAGCTACTTGGGAGGCTGAGACAGGACAATTGCTTGAATTCAGGAGATGGAGGTTGCA